ATTAATGCAGGGGTCACACAGGGCTCTATCCTCAGACCTATGCTGTTTCTGACCTTCATCAATGACCTCCACAATGTCACCACTTCCCAATTATGTATCTATGCATTTGACGAAACTAGTGTGCAATGGGTAATTTTATCATATTTTTAATTTTGCACATGCACATTGTTTGTTTTTAATTTTGTGGACTGCACAATACAGTACAGTGAGAAAAAGAGCACCATGATACAATTCACTCTGGTAGAAATTTGGAAACAGCATACTGTACTGCTTGGCATTCACTCCAGAAGCTCCAATACAAACATTTCAGAGTGTTTGATTGTCAATTTGAAGACAGTGCAGAGGATTTGGAAAGAGTTTAATGAGTCTAATGGTGATTATGAAGGTGTTTGCAGTGATCACCAGTGATTGCAATGTTATGCTTTCATTCATCTTCCCACAGGACCATAGACATAATACAGAAGCCTAAATCAAGTGCTTTGAGGAGGTAGTGCTGCCCTGGGTCACGAGGGTGACTGCTGGAAGATCCTATCTCTGGCAACAGGACTCTGCACTATGCCACACAAACAGAAGAACCCAGTCATGGCTGTCAGACAATTTCTGCAACCACATCACCCATTACATCTAGCTAACTAACTCCCCAGACTGCAACCCCCTTGATTATTATATATGCGGTGTGAGAACAGCAAAACTCCTTGTAACACCAAAGATGAACTGAAGACAAGGATTATGGCAGTATTCACCAAGGATACTGTCCAGAAGAGTTGCAGGACAATCCAAAGTCAGCCAGAGACCGTGATTGAGGCCAATGGTGATTCTATTGAATAAATTTACTCTTTAGTATTTCAAGATATTTTTGTGTAATTTTGATAAATATATCTGTTAAAATAAGTGTTATTTTCATTTTTGTGTAATTTAGATGACAATTCATCCATTGCAACCTGTATTTACTCCTTTCTTAATAGCAAGTTTAACAGATCTGACAAAGTAGAACTGGGAACTGCTCTCAAAAAGGACTTCCAATCAGTGATTAACTGGGACAAGGAATTTTTGAAGATTGTAAGTGGCAGGGAAGAGTGAATTTCTTTTCTTGAACTTCTTACCTATAGAACTCCCTTCTGATTTCTTACTTATACTGCCACCTACAATCTTCAAATATTTAAATATACATCAGTCACCATCTTCTGTCTTCCTGATTCTTGTTCCTTTATTGGCATTTTTTCACTTTTCCTCACAAAAGTCTTCTCATTCTTTTTCACTCCATGTAGCCCCTTGCTTCGGGTGAAATAATTAAAAAAAAAATCATTAGTCTATGTAAATCATCTTGGTAGGATTTATTAAACAAATACAGTAGTGTTATTATCCAGGTAGATAGTTTCCAAAACTTCCAATGTGGATTGTGAAATCTGAGAAGAATAGCAAATCATTGATGTATGTCCAAAGAACTTCCACAAAGAAATTGTTTTAATATTTCTAAAGCATAACTAAAATTAAAAAATAATTTAAAATTTTTTTTGTTTTTATGAAAAAAAAATTTATGTCTAAAATTAAAAATGAAATTAATTATAAAATTAGTTGAATTCTACAGTATAATTCTTACTTTGTTTGACAATATCTTACTATATATTATAATCCTATCTGATGACAGAGGAGATGCAACTCTTCATGACCCAACAAGAAATATGTTTTAGAAAGCAAACTAATTGAAATATGAAACAAATTTCCATAGTTAATGATTAAAACTTTTTTTTTTAATTATTTTGAACTTTCCTCTTCACTCACTGCTGATTCAGATTTTAATGACATTAAGATAATTGATTAATTATTTTATTTTTTCAAAATACTATTATTATTAAAAATTATTTTATACTTATGTCTTTTTTTACATTTTACTCCTTTAGAATATATTTTGAAAAGCTTTTTTAGTTTAATGAATGTTTTAAACACAAAAGATTACTTAAGTGTGCCAACCTTGTAGAAATGGAATTGCAATATCCTCAATGGTAATGATTCCATAAATGGTAAGATCTTACTGTGTATCAAAATCTTTCATTCTAAGAATTAATTTGACACACTGAAATCTGGTGGTAAGGAAAAAAATGAAACAGTAATAACTGATTTATATTTTAGTGCATTTGATCCTGGTTGAAGATTTAAAATTTCTTAACATTGCCTTCTAAATTTCAACCTCCATCTTCCCGTTCACTTCAGTAACTTCTTTTATGTGCCATGTCTCTTCAGGACATTGGCAATCATGGCTCTTGACTTCCCCCTAGCCCTTGTGGCTATCAATAAATTTTGTTCCTTTGATACTTCTCCCAGACCATGGTGATAAGCAAAGTAATTGTTGATTAAATAATAAATTTTACAATTTGTAGCCTAAATTTATTTTGGCTATGTTTGTCATAATTTTTTTAATTGAATTTCTCACTAAAATTAGATTGTTGATGCTGACACTGCTGGAAATGGGTATAATACAATATCTAAGAATTTTGAATATGGCTCAATCAACTGTTCGCAAAATAATTGTGAAGCATCAAGATAACAGTTTGTTAGAGAACAAGAGTAGACGTGGCAGAAAGAAGTTCTTTTTGGAACAGGATGAGTGGATGTTAATTAGAATGGTCAACAATGACCCTAAGATAACAACCGCAATGATGAAAACCAATTTGATATCTATCAGAGCTTCAAGATCAACGATGAATCAAAGACTCAAAAGGGATGGCTTGAAGGCATACCATCACTGGAAGATGCCATTGATGAAGAACAACTTAACTGCTCATTTAAAGTTTGCAAGGGACATTTTGAAGAAGCTTGAACATTTTTCACACTTTGTTCCTTGAAACCAAACTCAAATTATTTGGTCACCACAATAGGACATAGTTTGGAGGAGAAGCCTACAATCCAAAGAATACTATCCCTACCATCAAACATGGTGGAAGCAACATAATTGTTATGGTTCGGTTCCTTGTACCACAGTGATAGTCCAAGGTAAAACCAATAAAGACGAACTCGAACACAGGTATGGAATAACACAGATATATTACAAACAGGAATATATACAGAGAAGTAGAAGTGTTAGTATAAACAATCAGGTTTAGTAGAGAGAACAATGTAATCTCGACCAGTATCACTATTCCAATGTCTTGCAGTAATTGTCTGAACTCGACTGTTTCGGACTGCCTCTGACACGACTCTTGACTCGACTTGAACTACTGACGATATTCAGTCACCCCCTCCCCCCACGAGGGTGTCATGTGGCACAAGGCCTTTTTAATGTGGGATCTCCGAGCCCATGGGCTCGGGCCAAAAATATGCCCATTGAACCCATATAAATGGGTTCAGGGTGGTTTACCTCCCGAAGAGAATCATCCAAGGCGTAGCCTCCTTCGGGTTCCTCCCCCTAAAAGCAGAGAGTTCAACCAAACAGACGGTCAAGACTTGAGTGACTGACAATATTCAGTCATCCCCCACGAGGGCATCATGGGGCACAAGGCCTTTTAATGTGGGCTCTCTCCGAGCCTGTGGCTCGACCAAAAATACCCATTGAACCCGTATAAAAGCGGGTTCAGGGACGGTTTATCTCCCCAAAAGAGAATCCGCCCTTTGGCATTGCCTCTTTCAGGTTCCTCCCCGCCTGAAGGCAGAGAGTTCAACCGATCTGTCGTTCAAGACTTGAGCGATGGACTCCCTGCCTACTCCTGAGGTGCAGTATTTATTAAGTATGGAATAATCCATTATTATTATTATTATGAGTAAGATCCCATAACAATAATGGTGTCATGCTGTTTTTTGTTTGTTTTTTTGTTTTGTTTTTTTTTGCTAAAGGCACTGGAAAATTGATTCAAATTGAAGAAATGATGATAAAAGAGAAGTATTTCAATGTTTTGAACAAAAACCTGAAGTCATCAGCAAAGCAACTGGGATAAGGACACCACTGGACCTTCATTCAGGATAATGGTCCCAAGAATAGCTCACTTTTAATCCAAAATTAGTTGAAAGAAAAAACAAGATAGATATAGATATACTCCCATGGTTGGCCCAAAATCCTGACTTAAACCCAATAGAAAATTTATAGCGGGAGTTAAACAAAAAAGTGAAAGCAAGAAGGCCTTCTAATTTGAAGCAGCTGCAATAATATGAAATTTCAGAATGGGCAAAAATACCTTCTAATCTGTGCCTGAAACTAATTGAAAACTACCTTTGCAGATTAAAAGAAGTTTTAATGTATAAAGGATACACTCTTGATTGTTAATTATTGAATGATTTAGAGATGACGATAATTCTGAACCATTCAATTTGTTTTTGTTTTACTCATTAAAAATAAATTGTTTTAGAAATCTAACTTTTGTCTGGTGTTCCTTAAACAATTGTGCCTAGATTGACCAAAAATTATTTATGTAGACACTAATTTTAGTAAGAAATTCAATAAAAAATCATTTTTCACATATGCCAATAATTGAACGTGTGTGTGTGTGTGTGTGTGCACATGTGCATATATATATATATATAATTAGTGTTATAGGATATCAGTTAAAGCAATGAATGTCTCTGTAAATATTTGGCTTAAGGCAGTTGCATGACTTAGTCACCCTTAGTAAATCACAACAAATAATATCTTCAAAATCTGTTTCTTGGCATGAGCAATATATAGCCTCTTTTTGGTATTGATTTTGTTTCATTGTGAAATGTTATGTTTAAGGGCCATTTCAGTAGTTGGAGTGAGTGAAATTGACTTGGTGGGATGCCTGCATATATGAAAAAGTAATCGGTTGGATCATTTATACAGGGGAGAAATTTAGAACTTGTGGCTGGATTGAAATTGTACACAGATGATCAAAGACCCATGTTCCTTTCCGTGGCCTGGGAGCACATATCTTTGATCTAGTTGTGTTTGCTGGATGGATTTTTTGATAATGATTCATGGACAGGATTGTGGAAAGCAAAAAGTGCTTGATGATTGGTGGGGGGGGTTTAAAAAGATTGTAAATGAGAAGAAATTAGGAAATCAATGAGATGAAGAAGAAAAATGAAGTGGGTAAAGAAGACATGAAAAAAGAAAAGAATGAAAGAAGATGAAATGGTAAAAGGTGTAGGAGGAAGAGGAAGAGGAAGAAAAATGAAGGAGGAAGAATTAAGAAAAAATCTGGAAAAAAGAAGAAAAGAATAGAATTAGGAAAAAAATCTGGGAAAAAGAATAATTAGGAAAAAATGTAGAAAAAATGAAGAAAAATAAACAAAGAATAATGAGGAAATGATGTGGAAAAAAAGAAGGAAAAGAAAGAAAAAGAAGTAAGAAAAGATCTGGAAAAAAGAAGAAAAATGTAAAGAGAATTAGTACCAGATGTGAAAAGGGGAAGAAAAATTAAAGAAAAATTAGGAAAAGATGTGGAAGAAGAAGAAAAAGAAAGATGAACAATTAGGAAAAAATTTGGAAATAAGAAGTGAAAACATATTTTATATTGCAGGAGGTTGTTTAACAGTGTCCAGTGTTACTAAGTGATCCTACCTAAATACAGACTGGGCTCAATACTGCTTAACTCCATTGAACAAACAAAACAAGATTTTTTCAATGTGATTTAAGGAGGAAGAGAAAAAAATGAAGAAATAGGAAAAGACATACAATGCAGAAAAAAAAGTACTATTAAAAGATCTGGAAAGAAGAAAAAATGTAGGGAAATATGTAGGATAAAGGAGGAAAATGAAAGAATAATGAGGAAAATAAGTATTGTAAAGAGGAATAAAATAAAAAAGGGAAAAGATGTAAAAAGAAAAATGAAAAAGTAGGGAAATGTTGGATAAGAAGAAAAATGGGAGAAGAACCAAGAAGATTTGGAAAGAGGAGTAAAATGAAGAAGAAAGGAAAAAAATGAGGGATGAAGAAGAAAAACAAAAAAGTAGTGAAAATATAGGATGAAGAAGAAAAATGAAAAAGTAGGGAAAATATAGGATGAAGAAAAAATGAAAGAAGATCTTAGAACATTTGGAAAGAGGAATAAAATGAAGATGGGAAAATATGTTGGATGAAGAAGAAAAATGAAAGAACTAGGAAAAGATATGGAAAGAAGAAAAATGAAGAAATAAGGAAAAGATGTAAATTGAATTGAATGAAAAATAGGATAAACAAGAAAAATTGAAGCAAAACTATCTAATGAAAATTTGGAAAGAGGGAAAAAGAAAAGGAGAAAAAAGTAGGAAAGATGAACTACAAAAACAAAAATGAAAAAAAGAAATATAATCTAATTACTATTGATTTATTCACAAATGATGGTAATGATGATGATGACCATCATGATATATCTAAAAACTTCAAAATTGTCATCCTAATGGTAATCATAATAATAAATTAATTTGAATGAAAAGAAAATATAAATAAAATGCTAAGTTAGACAAGTCAATTTCTTCCACCACCACTACCACCACCACTTTCTTTCTCTCCCTCCACTTTTGGATGCCTTTTTCTTGTTTTTTTTATTTTGTTTTGTTTTTTGTTTTTTTTGCGATACAGATATTTTAGAAGTTTCACACATTCTCAGACTTTTCTATAGTCGGTAATATTTTAAAGAGACCCAGCCTATATCAATGTTCCTGCACAGCAAACAATCCTTGCAGCATGAACAGGTAAATTACATCAAAATGAATACACAGGTAAAAAGAATGTGCACCCTATGTTAGTGCACTATTTCCTTTCTCTCTCTTTTAGGCCCCAACCATTGGTTGATAACTGTTCCAGTGCACACACCCACATATGCAGAGATGTAACAAAAGTAAATAGACAATGCTACTCAAATATTATCAAATATGACTCTCTTTAATGATCTAATCAATTCCATAATATGTGTGTGTGTGTGTGTGTGTGTGAGAGAGAGATGAGGTGTTATGATTACTTACATTATTTACATTATTCAAACTCTTATCCTCATTTTCATTGCCATATTCACGTTTCGGCCCAGTGGATAAAAGTGTTGGTTAGATCGAGTGACTAGACCCAAAGAGATGTGAGTTCAATACCAGTCTACAGCAGTGGTGAAACAAAACTTGGAAAGTTGAAGTAAAGAGAAATAACTGAGACATCTGGAAGAGGCATGTCATGTGGAACTAGAACAATATACTCTGGTAAACAAAATAAATCGTTCAGTTTAAAATTCCAATCACTTGAAGAAAGCTGAAGCGTACAACAGCTAAACATTGTAAATATGGCAATGAAGATGAAGATAACAGTTCAAATAAAGTAAATAATGTATATATATATATATATATATATATATATATATATATAGTTTGAGTGGTTAGAACATTTGCTTTCTGACTATAAGACCTGGGTTCGAATTGCACCATGGTCGATTTGCCAGAAAGGCAACTTCCTGTCTATATATTAGACTGGATCAAGGTCGATCTCAGCATGCAGCACCTTTGGAAAGTGCCTGAAAACCATACCATGGGTTAACCTAAGCCTTGTGAGTGAAATTGAGTTGACAGAACTCTTGCAGGCCATCAATCACTGTGCTAGCATGAAGCCACAAATCATTGTGGCTTAGGGATTGAGCATGCTGTCTTTGTTCAAATTGTTGATCATGGTAGATAACACGCTCTCTCCTAGAAACTGTAACTAAAGTCTGCTCAGAATAGTTGTAGTATAAATCACAAGTGGGCTCTGTGAGTGTTGCGCAAAACATAAAATATGCCTGAGCAAGCGTCTGCAATAGGGATTGGCTTGCTGCCCTAATAGATGGGTATCCTCAAATACAAGTGGATATAGAGCTTAGTACTTTAGTTCAATTTAATTCAAATAATTATATTGAAGTTTTCGGCTCTTGTTTTGAAACATGAGAACTCTTATGTAGCATTGGAATCATATTTTTAAATAAATAATTATATTTATGCTCTACTTTTGTATCGAGCATTATTTTTTAAAAATAATAACAAAAATACTAAAGAACTTTGGATTATTTACCTAACGAGTTCTTTCCTATTTTCTATATATTTTACACACACAAACAACACACACACACACACACACATATATATATATATATATATATATATATATATATATATATATATATATATATATATATATATATGTGTGTGTGTGTCCTAAAAGTCACCAAGGTGTCTGAAAATTTAATAATTTTTTGTTTATTAACTTTTTTTAGTTTTCTTTCAGGTCATTTATAAAGGGAGTTTTGGGAATTAATCTTGTAAAAATACATGACTGAAAAATGAAAACGATTATTTAAGTCTTTCAACCAAATTTAACACTCGGTAATTCAAACTCAATGGGCCTATTGTCACCATTACAGTGTGAGAGATTCTCCAAGTTTTGAGAGTATAGGTTCAGTAAGTAACCTTCCATGAAGTGGCATACCATATTCAGTTAGGAATGAAAGAGTATTTAAACAAGTAAGGGAGAGTATCGAAAAAATCTGAGTGCATCAACTCGAAGGCAGCCTCGACTGCTTTGGATACCTCAGACTTCACTCCAACGAATTTTTACATGCAGCAACCTGTTTCCATACAAGATGGGGTAACAAGTCATACAACAAGAGCCACAATCCAGTCTCTGAGGCTCAGAAAATAATAATTTCTCACATATGTGGTATAAACTAGCCACCATATTCTCCAGATCTGACAAGCCCAGAGTTCTTCCTATAAGGCTATCACAAAGAAAAGTTTTATACCAACAAGCCTCAGACTCTCCAACAAATGAAGGATAACAGACATCAAAGGACTAGAGCCTGAAACCCTGAGGGTTGTGATGGAAAATGTCTTAGAAAGGGTATGTTTAGGCAAAGCTAAAAATGGACACTACTTAAAAGATGTAACCTTTCTCAATTAGTGTAAATTTATTTCTCATATCTATTCTATATAATACTATGGTATTGTGAATTAAAGTTAAAAAAAATAAAGGAGTTATTAGATTTTGAAATCACTTGGCAATTTTTGGGACATCCTATATATATATATATATATATATATACTAGCAGCATGGCCCGGCGTTGCCCGTGTTTGATTCAAAAATCGTATGACTCATACAGTAATTGCTATCACTTGACTTAAAATATTTTTGCCCTTCCTTACCTTTTAAGGAGTGCCCTTTGCCGTGCTGATGTTGCTACATGCCTTACTTCTTGCCTATCTCACACTGCAAATTTTTTCTAAGCTCTATCGTAAACATTAAATCTGTTACGAAAAAAGAACTAAACAAAATGAACACAAAATGATCAGCTTTAAAAAAGGACTTGTAACTGGAAAAACTGAATGAAAAAAGAATGTTAACAACAAATACTTTTTCACATCAAACCTAGTTCTGCAGAATCAGAATCAACCTTGAGTTTAAGCATGTGAATGAGCCAATTGGAGTAAAGTGCCATGCAGATTTAAATTTTTCCCACTTGTGACGAATGCAGCTATCAATTTTTTTGCATGCTAGCATGCTAGTTAACATTCGTGTCAGTCAGCTGTTGGCTCTCACGCTGGCCAGTAGAAAATGGCCACAAACTACATGAAAACTGCCGTAGAAGCATGAAAAAAATCAATTATTTTCACTATTGATGGGAGTTGGGAAATGCAAAGTCATTCTTGGCCTTTCTGCTAACTTGGAGCATGTGCATGTAAATTTTGGTGCAAATCCATTGAAAATTGCGGGCGTACATTCGTTATACACACACACACATCCTGCCTTTTTATATATATATATATATATATATATATATATATATATATATATATACTAGTGTACTCATGCCATCAAAATTGACAGCAAGAAGGAATGTATTATAAGTAATATGTATTATATTGTAAGTAATTTTCATTTAATCAAAGTACAATTTTGTAATTTATAACAGTTCCTTTGTTAATGTTAATAATTGAACGGTGTACAATTTATAAACATCTCAGGAAAGATATCTATATTTTATCCTCAATTGTGCACGTGCACTCATGCATAACTTTTGTATATGCACTTTTGTGACACACCTTGATCTTGAGAGTCAGATTTGCTGAGAAATTAGAACATCATTGCTAGTGATAATTGTCCCACAGTCCAAGACACCTCAAAGAAAAGTAACTTTACCTGAAGGTTAATTCAAGCTGAAATAAAATAAAACCTCGGCCAAGTTTTGTTTGACATATATCTATCTCCTCTCTCTATTCCTTTCTATTTCTCCCTCTTTCTCTCTTTCTTTCATTCTTTCTTTCTTTGCAGTTGTGTATCTGTTTCATTTCATGGCTACTTTCCATCACCCCTTTCACTTTGATCATAATTCGCAGAGAGGGGGAAAGAAGGGGATTGCTTTGTAGTTTGTCAGTGCAGTAGCTTTTTGCGTTTGGATATGAATGGGGTCATGACTTCTGTGCATTTCATTTCAAAATTTTGCATGTCAATTGTAACACAAAAAATTTTTAACTATATATATAAATATAAAAGTGAACATAAAAGTCAACACTTAGAGGCAACAGTCTGTTTCATGCTAGATGCAATCGTCAGGCCTGATGATTGCATATAGCATGAAACAGACTGTCGCCTCTAAGTGTTGACTTCTGTGTTCACTTTTATATTTATACACGCTCTATCTCTGATATTGAGCACTTTATCCCATAAATATAGCACATCTTAAGACTATATTTCTTCATAAATATATATATATATATATATATATATGTTGTATTATATTTAAGGATACAGAATGCCCAAAAAGAATGGAAAAGCTATGAAACTCTGTCATACTGTAAATGTAGGTATATGTGTAATTATTAATATATATATATATATACTTTATAGCTCTGTTTAACTACATTGAGCACAGTTTTGGCTATACCATTGATTAAATAAATAGTTATTTCCTCACCTTTATGTGTACATAATCACTCAAATATGTGGTTGATCATATCTCTTATTTAGATCATTTCTACAGATATATATATATATGTGTGTGTGTGTGTGTATACATATATATATATATATATATATATATATATATATATATATATATATATATATATAAGAAACAGGGAAATTTTGTTACAAAGAAAATAGTGCTGAATATCCATCCTCTTGTATAGCAGTGAATGATGGATAATCTTTCATCAGATGAAGAGAAAACTGGAGGTAACAGAAATGTGGTTCTACAGATGCTAAGAATTCTATAAACAGAGCAAGTAAGCAACAAGGAAGTCTTAAAGAAAATGGTAACAAAAAGATTATAAGAATCAGAAAAAGATAGCTAAAGTTTCTTGGACACGCAAGAAGAAAAAGGACTTGGAGGACTTAACCCACACAGAGTATATTCAGGGCACGAAAGATAGTGAAATGTAGCGGGCCACCTACCTAACAAGTTTGTATAAATGGATGGCGGAATGAGGAGCAGTACGCCTGGTAAAGGGAAAAACACTGCTAAGGGCCACAAGGGATAAGAAGCTGTGGAGAACCATGATTCTCTCTTCAATGAAATAATTAATTCTATAATATTTTTTAAGTAAATTAAAATTTGGGGAACTTGCCTTTGGCAGATTCTAAAAGTTTTTGATTTTTTTAACCATCCAATATCTCAAATCTGCTACAGTTTATGGAATATTTGACCAAGTGGTGCAGATCTGGTTGATGCCATTTTTTGACAAAGACCTGAAGAAGATGTAAAGAATAGATGGTCAAGAGATTCAAACTGATTGGATATTTTCAGACTGTCTGTGGTGCCACAAGATTTCTTCTAATACTCATATTGTCAATCACGAGTTTCATTTGATTAAAGCCCATGTACAGAGTGCGATGGGTAAGTTGTCATCATTTTATATTTTTAATTTCACGTATGTGCAATGTTTGTTTTTTATTCTGTTAACTGCACAGTATAGTACGGTCAGTTGGGCATCATCTATGTGAAAAAGAGCACCATGATGCAATTCATTCTGCTCCAATACAAACATTTCAGAAGTTTTGAGTATCAATCTGAAGACAGTGTAGAGGATTCAGAATGAGTTGGATGAGTCTAATGATGATTATGAAGGTACGGCAGCTCAGAAAACTACCAAATTTGCTGGTAAGGACTTCAGACTCAACATGGAGGCCTACATCAAGTTCATTGGGGAGGTAGTGCTACCATGGCTCAACAGGGTGGCTGCTGGAAGACCCTATGTCTGCCAACAGGACTCTGCACCATACCACACAAGCAGGAGAACCCAGTCATGGCTGTCAGTCAATTTCTACAACCACATCACTCCTTACATCTGGCCACCTACCCTCCCAAACTGCAACTCTCCTTGAGTATTATGTGTGGGACACAGTTGAGCAAGAGACCAACACCAAAGATGAACTGAAGGTAAGTATTATGGCAACATTCACCAACTAAAATAAGGAGACTGTCCAGAAGAGTTGCCAAAGATTCCAAAGTCGTCTGGAAGCTGTGGTTGTAGCCAATGGTGATTTTATTGAATAAATTTACTCTTTAGTATTTCCAGATATTTTTGTGTAATTTTGCTAAAAATATATGCTAAAATTAGATGTCAGTGTTATTTTCATTTTTGTGTAATTTAGATGACAATTTATCCACTGCACCCTGTACATGCAACATTTTGGACTTTACTGCTTGTTGAACATCTTACTTATTATAAAACGCAGATTGTGTGTGTGTCTGTCTGTAACGTTTATATATTGGATCGGATTTCCTACATTTTTCAACCGATTTCAACAAAACTTCACAGGACTACATAAAATTACCTTGTGGTGGTTCTAACAGCGCCAAAAATGGGAAAAATATAATTGTTTTTGCACAAAATCAATTTGAAAACACGATTAAGAGACATCGTGAAAATGGAAGAGGGACAACTCACATCGGGTTCTTTGTGTGTGTGGGTTACTTTAAATATGGGATCGGATTTGCTATATTTTTCAGCTGATAAAACAAAACTTCACTTCTTTTTTTTTTGGCAGGTAGTGTTTCTTATTCTCTTACACACTTTTTTCTTTATTTTTAATATTCACAATGCTTTAAAAATTCCATTTACAAGACAATTATTTATAAAATTCTATTCAATCAGTAGACTCATAATGATTGAAAACACTGTTTTTGTTTGAGTTTGACCAATTCGTAAAAAATAAAATAAAAAAAAAAACTAATTAAGACATGCGTGTCCGTCAACCTTAAACAATAATCTAACGATCTCTACTGATTGTAATGAATACAAATATCGAATAAATTCTTTATCTTTAGGAAAGATAATGAAATCTAAACATACACAAGTCCTAACTAAAAATAATAACCGAACGGGAAACTACTTTAAATACACATGGTGTCCAATTTTTT